AGGCGCCCGACCAGGGCCTCGTAGCGGTCGCGCTCGAGGTAGTCGCCGCCGTCCGCCGCGGGGGCGCCGTCCGCCGCGGGCGCGCCGTCCGCCGCGGGGGCGCCGGGCGCCGCGGGGGCGCCGGGCGCCGCGGGCGCCACGGCCTCGGGGCCGAGCGCCGCGGCGGGCGGCGGCGGCGCGCGGCGCGGCGGCTCGCCGCGGCGCGGCGGCGGCGCGCGGCCGGGCGCCGCGGCGGCCGGCGGGTGCGCGCGCGGCGCGCCCGGCGGCGGCGGCCCGCGCCACGGCGCCGGCGGCGGCGGGCCGCCGCGCTTGGCGCCGTAGTCCTGGGTCGCGCTCGCGCGCACCGCCGCGAAGAGCGCCACGGCGCGCAGCCGGAACGTCGCCGGGCGCCGCGCCGCGCGCATCGCTGTCACCGCGAGCGATCGATGCGGAACCGCGACGTATGCGTTGCAGCGAGTAGTGCCGACTGCGCAAGGAGTAGTCAGACCGCGCGGCGTCGCGCGGCGACACAACCTCGACACAAGGCTCAACTCGTCTCGCGCCGACTCGCGCCGCCGAGCGCTCGAAGAAGATGCCTCTTGTTGCCTCGGCGATGCCGTCCGAGCAGTGTGCGAAACAACGTACGCCTAGGCCGGCCCACTCGAATTAAATAAATAATTATTATTTATTGTTTCCCGCCGGCGGCGGGCGGGACGTGTACTACACCTCCTGAAAATCGGCCGCGCGCGCGCGCGGGTCCAAGGCTAGGCACGGGCTCCGGGATTGTTGGAGCGATTTTGTTTCGCACACTGGCGCGCGCGCGGCGGGGCAATCCGACGGCGGCGGCGCCGTGGATGTCGGGCCCCGGCGCGATCGCCGGCGCCGCGGCGCCGATTGCTTCAGCGTACGGCGCGAAGCGCCGAAGAAAATTTTGCTGCTCCGAACGCTGCACTCTGGCTGGTCGAAGAAGATACGCGTGTCCTTGATGCGGCTGCGGTCCACGAGCACGACGTCGAAGGGCTGGGCGAGCTTCGCAAGGGCGTGAACCGCGTTGCCGAACTGCGACGCGCTGTACGTGTTGTTGGAGCGCGGCGTCGAGTTCGGCCCGGTCGCGGTGCGCGATCCGCAGACGAACACCGTCGTCGCCGCGGCCCTCGGCGAGCCCTGCGGCGAGCCGCTCGCGGCCGCGTGCCACCTCGACGTCGTGCCGCGCATGGGCACGAAGCAGCGAGCCCACGACGCGGTCGAACTTCGAGGCGCTCGAGCGCGGGCCGGGCTGCCCCTGGCGGGCAGCGTCGACTGCAGATGTCGACAGTTCACGCCAGCGTCGTCGTCGCCTGTCGGGTCGTGCGGCGCGAAGCGCCGAAGAGAAAAATCACGCGAGTTTACGCGCCGTGGCGTCTGCGCGGGCAGAGGATCCACGCAGCCATCGTATCTGCCCAACATCTTAAGATATCGGCAGATACCCTTAAAGTTGAACCGTCTCGAACCAGCCCGTGCGATGGGATGCGACAGACTGCACCCGCGAATGCGAAGCGGCGCGCAATCGGGCCTGCTCAGTGCGGCTCGAGCGCGCGCAGGAAGGCGCGCTGCACCGCGGCACCGAGAAATTTGCAGTTCGCTTTTCTGTTCTTGAACTCCGCTCCCACCATGAGGTTGTGGCGGCCTCATGCGGCCACTACATCGTCGCAATGCTACCAATCCATGAGGTTTCGGTGGCACGACGTCCGCAGGCGTCGCGGGCGACAGTTCGCTCGCGCGGTCGACGTCTTCTCGACGGTGCTGCGCATCAACGGGCTCGTATCGGTTCGCGAGCCGCCGTCGAGCGTCTTTTCGGGCTGCGGAGATCGATTTTTTCCACCCAAGGAACGCGACCGACGTCGAGGAAGCGGCCCCCGGACCCCAGTCGACCGAAAACCTCGGGCTAGAGAACCACTCGTTCGCGAATGAGCACCGAGAGCTCGTCTAGAATTACACGTTCCCGGCTCGGAGCTCGTTTCGGCGCTACGGAAATCGATTTTTCCGGCTCAAGAAACCCGACCGACGTCGAAGAGCCGGTCTCGAGGTAGGAATCGACCGGAT